CAAAGATGGTTAGAGCTGGTGTTGAGACACATTTTCTTCAGCTCTCGTACGAATCAATAACCATGGCCACGTAAAACAGTTATGGGTGGTGTGATATTAGGAAAGGATCCGACTCAACGACGAACTTCAGTTCTCCGTTATCTACAGTCTTAAAACGATGCCCACGCTCTACTTCTTCAAAAGTGTCATTTTCATCTTGGAAGAGCTGAAACCTTCGCTGACACTATCTCAAAACGGAAAATTGCTGCTGAGTGTTCTGGACAACTGCAGCTGATTATCCTAGCTTGAAATAGTACCACATGCAGACGCGCAATTGATTCTTTTTGGTCTGCCATCTTCGAGCAAAAATTTTGGCTAGAAATACAACCGTGCATGGGTCATACAATCTCCTAATATGCATTCTGAGACGCTCTTTCTAAAAGAGTGCTTTCCCTTTGTAAGTGGTCGCGTTGTAGGCAAGAAACTAAGTCCCAAGAGGAAGAGGCATTTTAGCTCTGCTTACCTAGTATAAATTATGGCAATAATTGAAGGGATTACCCAAATCTTACCAGTTTTACTGGTTTCAAACGACTGAAGGACCCTGAATGTTGGCGTATCGTATAATGATAAGACATTAATCATGGCCTGAAAACTAATTTACAGTCATTATGTCGATGTGCCTGCGTCGGACCGGTAGGATGAAAAGGGTGGAACCACACGGTTCCGCCAGGTTCATGTAAAATCCTTTCCGTTATTCTATCTCCGAGCAGTCCTTGTTATTAGAGGATTTTTATTCCCATCTATTGCTCATATCTGTCTTCAGAAGCTCGGAGTCCGATTCGGCACAATCGTTTACTAACCCACCTACTAACAAACATTGGTCTGTGGCTCAGGTGTATGACGTGAGTGGTTTTTGCAGGCAATTTTTTGGTAATTCTCACATCTAATCTTATAGAACTGGATTTACGCATGGACCTTACCACAACACATTTCTCAGTCCAGATTTGGCGGAAGGAGGAAGCCATCAAGTGCATGTACTATCATAGCGCTAGCCATGGCCAGAGTTTATCACAGGTAAGCAACTGCAAACGACTTGGAATATGACCATCCACCTCTGTTCTACCAATGCATAAATCGACTGCAATATAGCCTAAATTGTTGTAAAGTTCTTCAGCTGTGGCAGCCTCTCCCACACCTAAGAGTTCTGATTAAAGACGCATTTGCTTACAAACAGTAACGAGGTCAATGGTAGCCTAATTCCAACTCTTCCTGGAGTAATCTACATAAGGCGTGTATCAGATCACCAATACCAATGGACAAAGAGACCTCAGCTACGGAAATTTTCAAAGCATGCGTACTAAAACCAAGGCGATGCCGATCGTTCAATGAGTGACGCGAACACTTCCAAATACAAAAAATGAAATGTTATCATTTTCACTGAAAGTCGATCAACGAACAGTCTACCACATCACAGCTGCATTCAACTCCTCCGTCCTCCTGGACATTTTCTGATCGGATATCGATAGCGTTTGAGCAACAACAACAATAACAACAAATACCTTTTTTTTGTTATCTCACTTTGCCTTTCTATTGACTGGATAATATTGACGATGACCAATACCAAGACTAGTTGTTCTCGCGAGAAATCGGTACTGCATTCTGTCACAAATGAGTTCGCTTGAAGTAAGTACCACATTGATGCGCTCACTGATGACGGTATGGAATCCTACCCCCAAGCACCTTATGTGACCTTTTGGCTGGAAGAACCCAATCAGTAGGTGAGATGCATCGGAATGCAGTCGAAGAGGTGCAGATTTCACGACTAAAATGTGATGGGAGTACGCGCCGAGGGTCACTACAGCAACATCACTATCTCCTGCCGAAGATTGTAGGCTACCATTTGCCAACTCGAGAGCGTTCCGCATCTTGAGCTCGTTCCGCAAGCTTTGATAGAAGCGAAAAATGAGGACATGCACTTCTTTTGGTAGTCTGAGAGCTCACAGCCGTACCAGGTGCTCTCTCTCCTCACAACGATAATCAGCAGATCAACCTAGCTCAACCCATTATCAGCACATATCCAGTGCAATTTTCAGTCAGAGTTTGGAAACTCATGCGGTATAGATCAGTGCAGTACATAGTATAGTAGTAGATTTCTACTTAGCCTAGAACTTCCACAAAAGAGTAGAGTCCCGTTGTGGCTCGCTCGCTTCTTCTCCCTTCTAGCACCCCCGTCTTGCACCTACTGCTTCTTTGAAAGGCAATTCCGAGATATCGGGTTTACCAACTTTGATTCTTCCATATCTTCCAATTATTTTTCACAAGTTCTTTCTGAGACCGTTCGTTTACCTTCCCAAACCAAATTTCGAATGATTGTTGGAAGGGATTCTGCTCACAGATTGGGCTGCAGGGGTATTTGTCTATCCTAGAGATGAGCATTGAACTTTAACGACCCTTCCTTTATATAAAGCGCTCGCGTCTGTCTGTCCGTCTGTCTGTCTGTCTGTTTGTACGGAAATTCATAACTACTGTTCCCGTGGGTCTAGAACGTTCAAATTTGGTAGGAGCACAGGCGGCAGGATG